TAATGCCATTCTCTTGATAATTATATCATTACTTGGTAATTCAGTTGTTTGGATTCTTACCATACAGTTCTTAAGAGCTTTCCAGAAATTTTTTCTTTAGAAAGTAATTTTCTTACGGAAACCATGTTGTAAATGTTAGTTCTTTTCCCAACTGGTGTCATTAAATAACCCTTCAGCTTCTCATGTTTGTGCAGTATGGTAGCGTTGTTCAGCAGTATCTGCAGGTTTGTAGGTGGGGTGGTGAAGTAGGGGGGAACAGGATTTCTCTGCTGCCCATCAGGGTTTCTCTGGTGCTGCCGGAGCCCCAGGCTTCTGCTTGTAGTTCAGAACCATGGCCTGCAGGAGGGCACCCCATGCACTGCCCAGCTGTGGGGGCTCCATTTGCATTATTTGTGTTAATGGTGCACCTGGGATTCTGTACCTCCCAAGTGTGTCTCCATATGTGATGGCCTTGTAGTAACGTAAAAGGGAAAAATTAAATCGCTAAGAGAGATTCTAGTATTTTCACAAGTACCAAATAAATAAATTTTTAATTAAGAATCACTTGCTCTATGAACTCAGAGTCATTTTCTGACAGTCAAAAGTCTCCTGGGGGTTTGAGTTGAAAACATTTAGCTAGGAGGGATTTAAAATGGTGGCAAAGCTTTATGTTCCTTCGAGGTGTTTTGAATTACAGAGAAATCTTACACTTGGCTGTGGTCTTGGCAGGTCTGTCTGTTAGCCACGTAAGTCCACGTCCTTTTAAAAAGCACCCTGCATTAACTTATGCTTAGTAAGGGGTCAGGACTGATTGGCAAGCAGAGGATACCTGTCTTAATTTACAAAGGGCACCTTACCTGAGGGTTGACCATTTCAGTGGGGATGTACCGTCACCCACTTGGTTCTGAGCTGCCCTCAGTTGTGAGAGTCTCCACTTTCTACATCACCAACAAAGAAATACTACAGAGTATGCTCTACTGTTTTCTTATTGCTTGGAATTTTTATTTCACATTTTTGAAAAGGCTCTTTTTCAGACTTGGCAAGCAAATCAGTTTAATAGATTTTTATTACGCAGTATATCATTCTTGTGCATTTACTGAAAGGAAAAAAGTAAAATAGTTAAGATATTCATTCTGAAGATTTCTGGATGTGCAGGCTGACCTTTTTTTTTTTTTTTAAATTGTGATTTGGGTGAAGATTTACAGAGCAAATTCACTTTTTTTAAAAAATTATTTATTTATTTTGTGATTTGGGTGAAGATTTACAAAGAAAATTCACTTTCCATACAGCAGTTCACATATACTTTGTCTCATGTCATTGACCACAGTTTACCACAATGTAACAGCTCCCCCCCACTTCCTTCCCATAGTTACCTCTTCCCAGTGTCCATCCCTCCATACACTCCTGCCCCCTGAGCTGTCTCCCTGTGCATAAGCAGCCCTTCTTTCTCTCATGATTGTTCTCTCCAAGGAGTGTATCTACTTAAGGTAAATGTCCAACTCATCTGTGCAGGCTGACTCTTGTACATCACTTTTCAACTCAGGATTGTAGAAGTCCTCCTTCCTCCCCTCTCTTCCCCACACCAGCGTAGCAAAACCAGCTCTTCTTCCTTTCCCTCCATCCCCTGGTAACCACTAACAGTTTTTGATTTCTGTATGTGTCCTTATTTCTTAATACTGTTTTTGTCTTTTTGTTATTGACTGATTTCACTCAGCACGAAATTTTTAAGGTTCATCCACGTTGTGACATGCATCAGGATGTTATTTCTCTCTATGGCTGAGTAGCATTCCATTGTATGGGTATACCATATGGCCACATTTTTATTTACCCATCATCTGTTGATGGACATTGTGGTTGTTCCCACCTTTTGGCTGTTGTCAAAAGCGCTGCAATGAACATTGGTATACACGTGGCTGTTGCAACATTTCTTAAGGGAGTGCGCCGTTACTCTTTTATCATTTAAAAATTCAGTCATTTGGTACTTGGAAGATCAAAAGTGCAATATAATTGCACTCTCCCCCTTTAAAATACTTCAGGGCCACTGCATTGGGGCCTACAGGCTATACTATGTCAAGTTGTAGTAGCAAACTGTAACATAGCTTTATCTACTTGGGGATCCTCCCCCACCCCCCCTTTTTAGGTCCTGTAAAGCACTTGGGTATTGCTTTATGGGAAAATACTGAATTGCAATCATTTCTCCACTGATGAATAATGACTTTACTAATATCCCATTGCTACTAATACCCCATTGTTGGTGTGTTGACTTGCCTTTCTTATACGATACATTTTTATTTCAATGCAGAATCATACTGTAATCCTTTAAAAGACATTTTAAATTGCAGATAGAACTAAAAATGAGTAGTAACAGCAACACAACTGAAAGGAGAGATAGTATGCCCAGTTATGACCAAGTTTGCTCTGTTCAGACAGACATCTATGATATAACTGCAGCCAGTTGTAACCTGGCACTAACTGTAATGTGACATTGGCTTAAGATGCATCCTAATTAAGGACATCATGCTGAGTGAAATAAGTCAATTACAGAAGGTCAAACACTGTATTAGTTCATTATTGTAAAAAGTCAAGGAAAGATTTATATATGGAAGGAAACTTTGCTGGTTACAGGGAGGGACTTGGAGGGGAGGGAACACTGTTAGATATGTGGAGACAAGTATTGATTTGGGTGAAGGGAAGGGCAGTATGCCAAAAGTGAGTGACCAACACAATAACATTAAGGAAAATCAAAACACAGAGAGGTGCACAAGAGGTACAGACAACAAAGATAAGCCCTTTGACATACACAATGCTGCATTATCAGTGACAACAAATATTAATCTACGTATGGGTAAATGGATGGGTAGATAGGCTGAATGATCAGGTTTGTCTAGGCAAAAGGGAGTATACCCATGACCATATATAAGATTGGCAGACGATATTTCTGTATATTTATTTGTATGTGCTGTAGGAATGTCAATATATATAATAGAGCTAACAAGGTGCAAAGTTGTGGTTAACTTCTTAGCCACAGCCAACCTACCTGAGGGAGCAAGTAGTTGGGCTTGTGGGCTTGGGACCACAGTTGCAGGGGACATCAAGCTCAATTGGCGTAACCTACTACACAAAACCATTGTTCTACATCTTACTTTGGTGAGTAGCGACTGGGGTCTTAAAAGCTTGCAGGTGGTCATCTAGGTACAATAATTGCTTTCTCCTCACCCAGGGTAAAGAATGAAGAAAACCAAAGATGCATGGAAACAGTTAGTCCAAGGGACTAGCGGACCATGCAAACCTCAGCCTCTAGACCATGAGACCAGAAGAACTAGATGGTGCCCAGCTACCACTGTCAACCACTTGGAAAGGGATCAGTGCAGGAGATCCTGGATAGAGTGGGAGAACATTGTGGAATAAAACTCAAACTCATAAAAAAGACTAGGTTTACTGGTCTGGTAGAGCTTGGTGAGACCTCTGAGACTATGGCCCCTAGCTACCCTTCAAGTCTGGAATTGAATTCACTCCCGTGGTGTCCAGCCAAACAGTAGACAGGCATACAGGGTGAACATTTACATCAGGTAGATACACTCCTTACAAGGATCAATCATGGGAGAATGGAAGGGCCGCATTTGCACAGGGAGATAGCCTGAGGGGCAAGAATGCATAGGAAAGAAGGACACAAGGAAGAAATAATTACAGGTAGGAAGTGGAAAGAGAGCTGTTACATTGTGGGGATTGTAGTCAGTGTCATGAAAAATATGTATGAACTGCTGTGTGGAAAATGAATTTGCTTTGCAAACTTTCACCAAAATCACAATAAAAAATTTTTAAGAACAGATGCATCCTTATTACAGGGATTAAAATGTGAAAACATGTTTTCTTGGACTCGCCAGTTGCGTAAGAGGTGGGAGGGCACTTAGTTTGTCTTGGCTTGAGTCTAGTGTGCACTCCACATCAGGATAAAGTGAGAACCTGGAAATCAACCCAGGAGCCCATGTGGCTGACTGAGGCCCAGAAATACCTTGCAGACAGAGGCAGATAAATTAATAGCTGAGTATGGGTATTAGCATACTTTTGTTTTACCTTTTTTGGAATTTAGACCAATTTCTAGTTTATCATTTTTTAGATCATTTAAACAGAGAGAATGTATCTTAGAAATATTTTACAGTCTATTTTAATACTTGGGAGCTCTGGTGGCATAGTGTCTAAGGCATTTGACTGCTAACCGGAAGGCTGGCGGTTCAAACCCACCAACCACTCCTCAGAAGGAAGGTTGGGCAATCTACTTCTGTAGTGATACTGCCTCAGAAACTCAGGGAAGCGTCGCTATGAGTCAAGTCCGACTTGACGGCAGTGAGTTTGGTTTGTTTTTTTGGTATTTTAATGCTTATAGTTTATCTTTAGTTTTCTGAGCTCTTACATCCTACAGTTGCTTTTGTGGAAGGTCATTCTCGAAATCCATTAGCTCATAACTTTAACTTGCTGGTCCAAAATAATGTTTTGTAGAATCATTAGAGTGTGAAGTGCTGAGTGGAAGGGGAGGAGAGTTGTGCAGAAGATGTGGGTGGGTAAGGAATGTCCTTAAGTAACAAATCATTGATGTAACTCACGGTGATGTGAGAACTACTGCGAGGTAGTAAAAGGACAGTTGAAGTACATTGTTCTTCCTTCACTTCCCCTTGTTCTAAGGCTAAAGAAGAAAATATTTAATTGACTCTCAGTGCCTGCGTGGGCTGGTACCCATCTATTTCATAAGCTTCATTTTATACCAGGCCGCCTTTCCCCAGAGAAACGTTAGAAGAGAGTGAGTTGGAGCGTAAGTGTGGGTTTATTTCACTTTACTCAGTGGCAGTGGGTTTGATTTATTTGTCAGTTCTGATGACTCTGACGAGAGGAGTGTAAGGAGCGCACATGCCCTACCTGTGCTCTCTGGCCTGGGATTCTGCGTTTAATACTGACTAACTGCATGGAGGTATTTTTCTCTTTAACAGGTTTCTCTGCATAAATCTATTGTAAAAATACGGAAAACAATGGCAGCGGAAACGCAGACGCTGAACTTTGGGCCTGAATGGTGAGTTTTCAAAATCCTGTCCCATTTGATGTTGGATGACTGGTGCAGGATTAAGGTGTTTGTGAAGGTGCTGCATGGTTTATAAGTGTGATTGTTTTTGAAACTTTGCCTTAGGGTCTAGGTGAAAACAGCGGGACTAGTCCCAGGATAATTATATTTGGTAATTACTTCATTCTCCAGTTGTCACAAAATTTCTTGGTCTGGTTATATAGTGTAATTGGATCAAAACTCTGCAGTTCCATTGCCTCAGCACATTACTTATTTATTTTGAGGCCTTATGAGCTCTGGTAGCATAGTGCCTAAAGCCCTTGACTGTTAACCAGAAGGCTGGTGGTTCAAACCCACCAGCCACTCCTTGGAAGGAAGATGGGGCAATCTACTTCCATAGTGATACTGCCTTGGAAACCCAAGGAGGAGTCGCTGTGAATTGGGTCCAACTTGACGGCAAATAACAACATGTAGGTGAATATACAATTTTATATTCTTGCTAACAATCTTAGTTGTATATGTTTTTGCTACATTGTTGGTTGTGATTCCTATTTGTAGACATTTGAAAAATAGTTTTTAATGAATTGTAATTTGGAATTTATTTTACCGATGAACTAGGCAAGTGGTACAGAATACTGCTGGCTTTCAGCAGAAGCCCATCTGGATGGGGTTAACATTTACTGTAATAACATTTAATTGACCTTTGAGTCTCTTACAGATGTGTTTGGACCCTGACTGTGCAATTTCCTTGGAATTTTGAGATCTATCACATTGTATTGTGATTTTCATCCCCTTTTTTTTCTTTTCCTCAAAGTTTGTGGTTGACGATCCTCTCTTTGGTGGCATAAATAATGTGATAGTTACTTTTTTCTTTCAATTTTGAGCAACCCCTTTGGTAACTTCAGAGGGATCCTATAAAGTAGATAAATTGGAATAGTGCCTCAAATACTCATAAATTGTTCAGGTGGTGATTTGTTAAATAATGTAGTCCTCCTATAGTAACTTCTTATTTGAGGAGTCTTAATCAACTTAAGGGAGAGCTCTGGTGCTTTAGTGCCTAAGGCATTTGACTGCTAACCAGAAGGCTGACGGTTCAGACCCACCAGCCACTTGTCGGAAAGAAGACCAGGCAATCTACTTCCTTAGAGATAATCGCCTCGGAAACCCAAGGAAGGGTTGCTGTGAGTTGGGACCAACTGGACAGCAGTGAGTTTGGTTTTTGGTTTCAATCAACTTAAGGAGCTCTGGTAGTGTAGTGCCTAAAGCATTTGACTGCTAACCAGAAGTTTGGAGGTTCAAACCCACCAGCCACTCCTCTAAAAGAAGACAGAGCAATCAGCTTGCATAAAGATTTACTGCCTCGGAAACCCACCGGGGGTTACTGTGAGTTGGAATCAACTTGAAAGAAGTGGATTTTTTTTTTTTTTTTCCAACCAATTTATCAATCAGTCCTACTGTATGGATTTCCTGTTATTTGTGATTCCTAAATGTTCTTAACCCTGTTAGCTGGAATTTAGGGACTGAAGAGAAGTCAATATTTGAAGTTTTAAGAACTAATACAACTTCTGTACTTACAGTTTATTTTGGAAATGTTGACCTAAGTAATACTATATGTGATTTAATTATTTTATGTTTTTAAAATAATCTTATTTCCACATCAATATAATATACTCTAAAAATACCAAACTCACTGCTGTCAAGTTGATTGCAACTTATAGCGACCCTCATTGGGTTTTCAAGGCTGTAGTGTATATCTTTACGGAACCAGACTGCCTCATCTTTTGTTCCACAGAGCGGCTGGTAGGTTCAAACTACTGACGTTTTGGTTAGCAGCCAAATACCTTAACTACTACACCACCAGAGCTCCTTCAATATACTATAATATGTAGAAGAATTAGAAATTATAAGTAAGCCAGAAGATAATAACCACTATAATTTTACCATCCATGGTAACCACTGTAAATATGGTAGTGTATTTCTAGGTGGTTCTGTCCTCTTGGTGGGCTACAGGCACCTCATTTGCATAGTCCCACTACGTCATTTGGTTGTTGTTAGGTGCCATCGAGTCATCTCTGACTCTTAGCGACCGCGTGTACAGCAGAATGAAACACTGCCCGGTCCTGTGCCATCCCATCATTGCAGCCACTGTGTCAGTCCATCTCGTTGAGGGCCTTCCCCTTTTCGTTTTCCCTCCACTTTGCCAAGCATGGTATCTTTCTCTAGGGAATGGTCCCTTCTTACAACATGACTGAAGTAGGTGAGATAAAGTTTAGTCATTCTGGCTCCTAAGGAGCATTCTGGCTGCACTTCCTCCAGGACAGATTTGTTAGTTCTTTTAGTAGTCCATGGTACTTTCAGCGCTCTTCGTCAACACCACAACTCAAAAGCATCAACTCTTCTTCAGTCTACCTTTTCCATTGTCCAGCTGTCACATGCATATGAGGTGATTGAAAATGCCATGGCTTGTGTCAAGCACACCATAGTCTTCAAGGAAATAGCTTTGCTCTTCAGCTCTTGAAAGAAGTCCTTTGCAGCAGATTTGCCCAATGGTATACAACATCTGATATCTTGACTGCTGCTTCCATTGGCGTTGATTGTAAAACCAAGTAATAGGAAGTCTTTGACAACTTCAGTCTTTTCACCATTTATCATGATGCTGCTTATTGGTCCCGTTGTGAGGATTTTTGTTTTATGTTAAGGTGTAATCCATATTGCAGACTGTAGTCTTCAATCTTCCTCATAAGTGTTTCAAGTCATCCTTACTTTCAGCAAGCAAAACTGTGTCGTCTGCTAATGAGCCTTCCTCCAGTGCCATGTTCTTCTTCATATAGTCCAGCTTCTCATCTAATTTGTTCAGCATACAGATTGTATATGTATAGTAAAAGGATACAACCCTGACACACTCATTTCTTGATTTTAAACCATGCAGTATCCCTTTGTGCTGTTCAAATGATGGCCTCCTGGTCTGTATACAGATTCCTCATGAACACAATTAAGTGTTCTGTAATTCCCATTCTTCTCAACATTATCCATAATTTGTTATGATCCACACAATCGAATGCTTTTGCATAGTCAATAAAACACAAGGAAACATCTTTCTGGTATTCTTTGCTTATAGCCAAGATCCATCTGACATCAGCAGTGAGCAGTGACATCCCTCATTCCACATCCTTTTCTGAATTCAGCTTGCATTTCTGGAAGTTTTCTGTCAATATACTGCTGTAACTGTTTTTGAATTATCTTCAGTAAAATTTTACTTGTGTGTACTATTAATTATATTGTTTGATAATTTCCATATTCTGTGGGCTCGCCTTTCTTTGGAATGGGTACTAATATGGATCTCTTCAGTCAGTTGGCCAGATCTCCTAGCATAGCCAAGTGGGGGTGCCTCTAGTGCGGCATCCATTTGCTGAACATCTCAGTGGGTATCCTGTCAATTCCTAGAGCTTTGTTTTGTGCTATGTCCTTCAGTGCAGCTTCAACTTCTTCCTTCAGTAACATTGGTTCTTGATCATATGCCATCTCTTGAAACGGATGAATGTGGACCAATTCTTTTTGGTACAGTTACTCTGTATTCCTTCCATTTTCTTTTGATGTTTCCTGCATCATTCAAATATATTGCCTGTGATAGATGGAGTTATGTGTCAACTTGGCTGCACCATAATTCTGTGTGGTTTAAGCAGTTGTGATGTGGATTATTCCCATGATGGGAGATCAGATGTATATGTTTTGAGCAGCCAATCCATTGAAAGGGAGTTTCCTTAGGAGTGTGGCCTGCTTCCAGTATATTTATGGACATCCTGGGGAAATGAGAGACTCTTCCGTGGATTGGGATCCTGTTGTGCTGCCTACAACTGTCTGTGAGCGAACAATCCACCATTCGGCCTGGAAATCTTGGATTTGCCATTCATTGGAGTCAGCAGCTGATATACTGCCTGCCGACCTTGAGCTCGTCAGCCCCTGCAGCTGTGTGAGTTGGGAAAAGCCTCTAGCTTGATGTTTGATCCAAGAACTTGGGACTTGTTAGCTTCTATAAGTGTGTGAGCCATTTTTCTAAGATAAATTTTTTTTTTTTCTCTCTATAAGCTTTACTGGTTTTGCTTCTCTAGAGAACCCAGCCTAACACATTTGGTACCGAGAGTGATTCTAGAGAGGCAAAATCCTAAGGATGGGCTTCCTGAATTAGTTCTCACCAATTCTGGTTTGGTTCTCCAGTTCTCTAGTTTGGTTCACCGCATGGATGATGCGGTAGCCTACCTTACGTCCAGTTTGGTTTTCCAGTAAAGGGACTGGTGACTCTACCTCCATTAGTAAAGAGGGCCCTGCTAATCCATAGTGTGAGGTGGCAACATTAATAATGCAAAATAGCACCACCAAGAGATCAAGTATTTTTGATTAGTGAGTCTGGGTGATCTCATATTTGATACTTTTCTGCAATTTTGTCAGCATGAGGAGTATAAGGAAGCTGGTTGGTTGGTTCTACTTAAGCTAGACAAAGTGGTGAGTGAGATGAGTTCAGGGCTTCTGAGTCACACACAGCTCAAGTGTTGCATAAAAGACCTTAATATTTCCAATTGTGCTCTGAAAGAAAGCCTTATTTCTTCTAGTAACAGAGCTGATACTGCCAAAAACCAAACCCAGAATCTTATTGTAAAGGTGGCTGAATTACAATGCCAGCTGAATTGCCAACCCAGAATGTTGTCTGAAGTTAAAGTGAGGGCATTGATTGGGAAAAAAAATGGGATCTTGAAACCTGGAATGGTGGGGACATATGAGCAGACAATCAGGAAGATGAGGATATGGGGCCTGTAAATCTGTTGAATTCCTCCCATCTGAAGGGATTACTATAAAACCATTATCCCTCCCAACTCTGTTTGATGGGATTAACCCAGCTCTTCCTGCTGGGTCATTGCCTGAGGTAGATGGCATGGAAGACATTGCTGAATGTTCTCAGGAACTGTCCAACCACCCATTGTTGGTGTTAGACCTGTAACTAAAGTCCAAGCGAGCCC